GGCGGGGCGGCCGCGGTTGGGGGCCCGGGAGGCGGTTGGGGGCCCGGGAGGCGGTTGGGGCCCGGAGCCCCGGGCGGGAGGAGCCGGCAGGGGCGAGCGCTGCGGGCCGGTTCCCCGGGCCCCTGCCCTGCCGCACACCCCCCAAGCAGGGTTCTGACCGCGTTCCCCTTCTCGTTAAGGGTTTGAACTCATTCCCTGTATGAAGCGTGTGCTCGTTGCATGATTTAGACTTTGGAAACAGCCCTCTGTGAGCTTGTCTCCAGTGGGGTGGGCTGGGCGTTTGTTTTCCAGGTTGCCCTGCTGGACATAGATATCTGTGGGCCGTCGATCCCTAAAATGATGGGTCTAGAAGGAGAACAGGTAAGTGAATGCTCAAACATGTTGTTTAAAGGGTTTCTGCTCAACTTTCTGTTAACATTTTAGGGTTTTGTAGACTTCAGGCTTCTAAAAGGACTGCTTATTGGGAAACGTGTGGCAGTGGGTAGGGAAATAAAGATGGAGAAGTTCAGCATAATTTAGTTTGCAAAAGAGTTGTCTGCTTTCAGGATGACCCGTTCTGTAAAACATTTGCTGTGTATCGGCCGCCTGTTCGTGGCTACTTAATTTAAGTAACATTAGCACGATGCTCTTTATCAGCCCTAGAACATTTTATATAAATACATAAAGTCATGGGTAAATTTCTTGCAAAAGTATTGAATGGTTATCATTCACTTACTAATGGAGACCTGGCCCTTCTGCAGTTTTTAACTCAGCTGCTCCAATAACGCAGCGCTGTACCTCTAGGCAGGGTATCTGTTTACCCAGGTTTGACTTACGTTCGTGTTTCATGTAACGTCTGTCTTTATTTCTAACGTAACTTTGTGCATCGCTTCGATTGTCAGGTTCATCAGAGTGGATCTGGATGGTCTCCAGTGGTCAGTTGGCACGGCTGTTTGAGAAACTTTGTTGGGTTTGTTTGGGTTGGGCACCGTCTTCTGAAGTACAGAACGAGGGAGGGAGGAGCAGGGGGTACCTCTGTTAATTCTTTTTCTAATGATGTAAATATCTGGATTCTATAGAATCTATAGATAACCTGTAATATATAACCCTATAACCCTAATCCTAGATTAGATTCTATATCTATAACTAACCCTAATCCTATATATCTATATCGAACCCTATTCAGATCCTATAGAATCTGGATATTTATATATTCTATAGAATCTGCACGTAGACTATATAGATCAGAGTGTTAAGTTTCTTTGTTAATCAGAATAATACTACATTTCTAAAATAGCTTCATTATTTTAAGTATCTCTTGTTTACTGACTTTCCTACTATACTGTGTGCAATAATGCAAGTTACTTGATTTCATGATTTTTGGTTATGATGCGGCTGTACAGTATGTCACCTTTTCAATGACAGACAAACAGTATCTTACACCCAAGAAAAACCTCATTAATATTTAAAAAATGCAGGGAGAGTCTTGCAGGAGTGTTGGTTGTCTGAAGATCGCCTGTAGTGTGTATGCTGTTAAAAAGACAGCTTGATGCTGAGAGGGAAAGCTGCTCTTATCCTTACGCTGTCTCCAGTGATTCCACAAACCACTGTAAATCTTACTACAACTGGATTTTTTTCAGTCTGTGAATGTAGTTGGGGAGCGTTGCACAAAAATTGTAGTTTTCAATGCCCTTCGATAAAAAGAGAAGCATAAGGTTCCCTGCCTTTATTTTCTTAATGTCTTCCTCCCGCCCCAAACTGCTTTTTCTGTAGAATCTGGTTTTAGAGTTGGTTTCTGTACTCCTTCTTTACTGTTCTATATTCTCTACTGAGTTTCTCTACTTCTCTTTTAGTATGTTGAAGAAAACTTAGGTGTCATGTCCGTGGGGTTCTTGCTTAGTAGTCCCGATGATGCTGTCATCTGGAGAGGACCCAAAAAAAATGGTACGTATCAACTGTTTTCAACAACAATTTATGTGCTTGAAAGATTTCGTATGTTTAATAATGTAAATACAGTATAGTAAGCTATAGGGAAAAATGAGTGAATGGTTACTTATTTTCTTGAGTCATTTGATGAAGTTAGGTCAAATGCTGTGTTGGGGCTTTTTTTTTTTTTTAAGCCTTGGCAACATAAGCATTTCTGCACTGAAGTTGGCGAGTCAGAAGAATCTGCATACCTAGGCTATAAAATTTGAAGTAGACCCTAAAATTTGAAATATAGGGAGATATTTTTTTTCTCTCTTCCACATTCTTATCCTTTCTTTTAGGGCTGATCAAACAATTTCTTCGTGACGTGGACTGGGGTGAAATCGACTACCTGATTGTAGATACACCTCCAGGAACATCAGATGAACACTTATCTGTTGTGCAGTATCTCAGTGCAACGCATATAGATGGGGCCGTTATCATCACTACCCCTCAGGTACAGGACCTTAATTTCCATGGATAGAAGCATCCTGGCAGTTCACGCCAATCCTTGGTTTAGAGTCTCTGTTTGACTTCAGAGAAATGATGGGACAGAATCTAAGGGAGCTGACTTTCTTGGCTTATGAATTAGCTGGGTGTCTCAGGAATCACAGAATGCTTTGGAATGGAAGGGACCTTTAAAGGCCATCCAGTCCATCCCCCTGCAAAGATCAGGGTGCTCAGAGCCCCGTCCAGCCGGGCCTTGAAGGTTTCCAGGGATGGGGCATCTCCCACCGCTCTGGGCAACCCCT